TTTGTGCCCAGATCATGAGAGTAAATAAAAAATTAAAAAAAAAAAAAAGTCTTTTTATAGGATTACACAATTACTGGTGAACCAGTAGTTTCCATTGTGGTCCTTGCAAACAAATGAAACAAATGGTCTAAATTGAACATAACATCATTAAGAACATCATTAAGAACCCCAACCGGCCGGAGGCAAACCAGTTGGCTATTTACAAGCGTGGCCAAGGATCTGAACTCGGGGTACCGTGAAACAGATCCAGTGGTCAGGGTGGGACTCGAACCCGGGAGCGGCGGATTACAAGTCCGACACTCTAAACACTCGGCCAGACTGTCTCCTCGAAAAAAATCTATTTTTGCCTCCAGAACAGATTTTCTATAAATTGTCATTGGTAAAAAGCCTTGTTGAGTTTTGTTCTTTATGCGTTTGAAAGAAAATGAGAACATGGTCGCTAAGGAGTCCAAATCATCACAGCTATCTGGAATAAAATTGATTTAAAAGGAACATAGGAACCACACTGTCAAGAGAGAAACCCTCTGGGAGGCTGAATCGCCCATTTACACATTGTTTCTGAAGTAATCGTGGACCGTTCATTAAACAGAGACGTACCTACGGCGGGGGAGGGGGTCATCTGGGATATCTGTGGTAGTAAATGCATAATTAAGAGGTGCGCACTACTTTGTAACTTTGGCTGCCCCTCCCACCTTTAAAAATCTCAGACTAGATCTGTTAACTTATCGGAGGGGTTGGGATGAGTGATGACGGGTGATGAAATGAAGATTTCCAACTTCATCGAGCGGAAAGACAGGGAGGTTCCTGGGGTATTGCAAAGGATTATTAAACGAATAAGAGAGTGATCATTGCAGTTATGAACACTACCTGAGCAGTAGTGAAAGTAAAGCCTTAAAAGTCAGGCTCGTTCGACAGTTGAACCCATGACCTCTGCAATACTGATGCTACGCCAACTGAGCTAACAAGCTAACCGGTAGCTGGTCATTCTGTTGGTTTTTTGTAAACCCGTGAGTGATGAATGAATTCTAAGTTCAAATATAGGAGATCATGTCAGATCTTTACATTCATTTAAAGGGCTATTAATCAACCAAATCGTTTTTACGTTACTCCAAAAGGGACTGGGTGTTGGACCCATGGACAAACAGGAGTACAATCTCTATCGAGACATTCAAGGAGCACAGAGGTGCAACTGATTGACAGTATTCCTGAGGGAGGGTGCTTGTAAATCGTCTTCTAAGTTGCACCATATTTTTGCATTTTTAAAGAATTCCTCGTTCAATTGCTTGAGTTAGGCATTACATTCAACAGTTTATAGTGATATTCTCGAGTGCCAGGAACACTGATTATGACCGAATCAGTCCTTCCGCTTACCTTGATTACTGATTGTTGTCGTAGGATGAGTTTTGTTGGCACATGAACTGTTTTTGATAGTTGAATGAGATTCAACAGTTACTGGTGGGTTGGTAGGCCTGGATGAAGTTTGCAATTGTGTTGGGGAGACACCGTTACACATGTCTTCACTTTTGCAACGCGGATCTATTAAGATAGAAAGATCGAAAAGCGAAAACAGTTAATAAAAATGGTCGCACGATGCATCCGACAGACTTATCTACCTTTCCAGGTGTCAGTCTGCGAATATGATTTATGAGTTGGTCACATCAATGAATATACCACTGGAAACGTGCAATGAATTATATCTAAATGATTCAATTGTCATCTTAACTTGAATTGGTTCTAGACAAAGTACAGTGATTGGTAAAGTTCACTTTAGCTGCAATTATCGTTTCTTGGCTATAGTATCATGAGTTGATTTTTTTTACCCTGAAGCAGCAATGGCAATGTAAATCAGCCCTCTTTTTTCTATCTTCCAAAATGAAAGACTTCTCTCGAAAGTTTTTTTTACAGCGACGTACCTGTACTACTTGTACAAACAAGGAATTTCAGCTTCATCTTGTTTGTTCTACAGTTTCCTCCATATGTACTGTTAATAGAAGTTTTTCTTCCATCTGACGTTGCTAGTCGATAGAAAAACTTAAAACTATTAAAAATTGTTCAAGGCATTTAATATGTCTTAATTGGTAATCTAAACCGTCCTGTTTAAAGTAATTGCTCTTGAATAAGAAAAAAAATGTTTTTTTCTTTTTTTTTTCACTAATGGACGTATCAGTTATGGTATCTGCATTACTGTGCACGAAGCAGGAGATTGCAACTTTGAAGAATCATCACAAAAAGAATTCAAAACTCATGGAGAAAGTTAGTAAGAAACTATTAAAAAACGCTCGTTAACAACAACTTGGCTCAGAGGGCGCGAAGAACTTCTGGGTAGTGTAAAGGGAAAAGAGAGTGTTAATGATACTTTTTGTTTTGTTTTGTTTTGTTTTGTTTTGTTTTGTTTTGTTTTGTTTTGTTTTTCATTGCCCTAACTGTGTGCCCAATAGTTCGAGGTGGGGAGAAAGAAGGATGGGTGCACGTATGCATGTGTGATCATCCACGTCAGCGTGGTCCTGGAAAAGACTGTTGATGGTGTCAGTGTTTGACATTTTACACTCTAAGCAGACTGAAGTCACCATGATTTGACCCGCCTTAACACGACTCTGATAACATTGACTTTCGCTATATCTCTAACTTCCCGGTTCAAGCCAGTCATTGCCAGTTTAATAACTACTTTCCAATTTGTCGTGAGTCCGCTCAGAAATAGATCACAGATGACGTCAAAATAAGGTAATGATAAAAAAAGTGACACGCGAGGCGCAGCCGGGTGTGTCACTGATCATGACGTCTTCTGTGACTACTACTGTACAGACCCATAGCAACATCACGTGAATCTATTTGTTTTATATCATAAAGAAGCAAAGTCTGGTCATGGTGACGTCATCTATGCATCTGTCATCCATCAGATCATAAGTAGGGACCAATCAAAATGCGTGCGTAATTCATGCTTATCATGTTATTTGAAATGGTTGGACCTACCTACCTACAAAATAGTACTCTTTTCCCGGCTGAAATTCGGGCTCATTACTGGCGCTAAATCTCTTAAATGTCACCGTATAATATTTTAGTTT